AAACAGAGACGTAACAACGATTAAACGTTAAGCTAGTTTTCATTTAAGGACCAATTAATATTCTTAGTTTATTACAATTGTTCTAATTATTTTGAGGATACAATTATGAAGAGTTAACTTGGATTCATATACTTAGTTTGTGCAGTTATATACCAGGTCGTTGGTGCTACGATGGGCTAGCGTTTCTTTGCCCTTTTGCTTTAGTGTCGGGTACTGATTACCCCTCTTTATCTTGACTTCCCTTTCATTAAAACTAAAAGCGTAATCACATTGGAAACTTGGTTTAGAAATGATACATAATAAATAATTTGATAAAGTAAAAATAAATAACACACAGTAGCAAGTTCTGGTTTCATAACGCCAATCTGTTGTTCCTTTAACTTTGGCAAATATTTGACCTGGATTATTTCAGCATACAACAACTCAACCATCACCCCCCCCCCCCACATTTTATTGCTTCCTTAACAAAAATTGGACCCAAGACATAAAATAGCAAGTTTTGTGTGCAAAATCTGCATACCCAAAGTTGCTATTGAATTAATTATCAAAAACCCGAAACGCAAAAGTTTCACATTTGCATTATACCTTCTAACCTTGTTTAACCTCATCATAAAGTTAGAGTTTCAAATTTAACGACATCACTTATTGTTAAATCGACGGCGTCTATGAAATGCACTGACAAAAACACAATTACAATTCATCAGGAAAACACTCCACCTCTAAACACTTATACTGGTTAAGATGTGTCGACAATGTTTTCTGTGGCTTCGGCTGTGATGAAGAAAAAGTAAGATTCTCAAACCACATCAACGACGTATATCCCAACATTCGTATTACAATTGAGAACGAAGATAAATTCTCCATAAACTTTCTAAAGGCGCACATCAGAGAAAAGGATTTAAGACTAAAGTCCATAGAAAATTATCAAACTCAGAATAATACCTTAATGGAAAATCCACATAGTTCATACAACAGAAACTAAAAACCTTGAAATATATTATGTAAATAGCATTTAATATATGGCCTGAAAACAATTTACACGATGAACTACACTGAAACCTTCACTCTAAAAAAAATATCCGGAAAAATTGTTTAAAAAAATTGAAACATCAAAAGAAAGTCAAAGAAACAAGACGATACAAATGTTAAATATGAAAACTACTTTAACTTTATCATCCTACAATTTTTTATATCGAAAACTTCAGCAAAAACCTAATTGGATTATGGAAACTACTCATGAAGTATCGGCATAAACGTCATAATCATACAAAAAAACAGGTAATAAAATTAAGACTCTTATTATTAACAACTACCCCAAAGAAAATAGAAACAACAAAGTCATCTTCAAAATTAAATGCAATCCATGTAAATACTTTTATATCGGAGAAACTGGGAGTGAAATGAGCCTCAGACTTAAGAAGCATCTTAAAATTCCCTCACATATTTTAGAAAATCTCAAATATTCTCATCGAACACAATAATCAAATCACCCGAAGAGAACCAGACATCAACAGGAGAAAAACAGCTGAAGTTATCAAAACCGATGTTAAATAAATATCCAGGACACACACACGCCCCGCGCTCGACTCGCAATCTGAAGGTCGCGAAGAGAACCAGACATCAACAGGAGAAAAACAGCTGAAGTTATCAAAACCGATGTTAAATAAATATCCAGGACACACACACGTCCGGCGCTCGACTCGCAATCTGAAGGTCGCGAATTCGAGTCCTCATCATCGAACAGTCTCGTTCTTTCAGCCGTAGGGGCGTTATAAGTGACGGTCAATCCCACTATTCGTTAGGCCCGGCATGGCCAGGTGGATAAGGCGCTCGACTCACAATCTGAGGGTCGCG